GCGTCTCTCGGCCGCCTGTGCCCCGTCGGGTTGCGCGCCTGCAGCCTCGGGCGCGTCTCTCGGCCGCCGCCTGTGTCTCAGTTTTTCTGATGCCTGCCTCTTCTTAAAGTAGCATGAAGACAAAAATGATGAAAGAAAGCGTTTTTAGGTCTGAGAAGAAGGTGCTTTATAACCTAGATTTCATCTTGTTAAAATAATGGCAGAATATATCGGGAGGCTTGTGCCCTTAAGTGTTTGACCTGAGTGATCTTGGAGCTGAATTCTTCCCTCTTGGCTATTTCACTTATCTATAAACTCTTCTGTTGGGTCTCTCTTTTAAGAATCCCTAGGATTATCATGACTGAAAACTTCCTCTCTAATAAAACTTTTCGGGTCACTCTCCTCCAGGAAGTACTTTTTGTTAGGACGTTGACTTACTGCTTGATTTTTTTCTTTTTTTTTTCTTGTTCCACCTTAAATTTAGGTACCTAAGTAAAAGTGTTAATACCAATAATCCCTTCGATTCCTTTTGGCAGCCAGAGTCATTTGTTGGCTTTACTAATTCTGTTAAAAATGTCATTCTCTACTGTAAATGCACTCAGTCTTTGGAAACACCAGCCGAAAATCACACTGATGTAATTCCTGTAAAAGGAGCATACTTGTAGACAAGTGTGATACCTTTACCATTCCGAGTCCTTAAAATTAAGGTCTATACTACATAGATCAGGGAACATTTATGCATGTGGAAAAAGTATTTACCAATGAGAAAAGCAGCTGTTTCCCAAAGAGAAGTTTAATGTTTTTATTTAATAATGTGCCTTTTTAGGTTTCTTCCCCAAGTTTCCAGTTTTAATTAGAATTTCTTATTTCTTGTGATAGAATACTACTTCACAGAATGTAACCAAGCGGCCAATTCAGCAGATGCAGCCAACTGCTCCAAGAAATAGTAATTTGCGTGAATTACCAATAGCCCCATCGCACGTCATAGAGATGAGTAACAATCGTTGCTCCTCCACACCTGCAGCTCAAGTGAAACCAATTATAAGCACGTCACCGCCCACGAGGTCTGTGGTGGGTTCCAGGAACTCACAGGGAAAGACCGAAGTGAAAGTCAAGCCTGTTAGCCCTGTGGTTCAACCTAGAGAAGAAGCAAAAACAGAACCAGAGGTAGGACTTTTTTAATAAAAAAAGAAATACTTCGTCTCCAGCAAGAAGCCTTGTGATTAACTTGGAGTTCTTACTTAGTTCAGTCTCTACAGTTATTCACAAAGTCTTCCCACACTTTTTTTCAACTACATCTTGAATTGGGTCCTTCTTTTAACCTAATAACCATGTCCATAAGATATACTTGTATTCTCACTGGTTTACAATATTAGATTTTATCTGTATATTTGTACAGTTATTATTTTATGATTTAGAATGCATACATACAGGAGGTTAGTACACTTTTCTGTAAAGGGCCCGATAGTAATCATTTTAGGCTTTGTTGTTCAGGCTGTCTCTGTAGTAATTATTAGCACAAAACTGTTATAGATAATTCTTAAGTGAATGGGCATGGCTATAAAATAAAACTTTATTTACAGAAGAAGGCGGTGGGCCGGATTTGGCCTGAGGGCTGCAGTTTGCTGATCCCTGATATATATATATATAGTTACTTTTCTATGACTTTTTTGTTTTTCACTATAAACTACTAAAAGATAGGACTACCTTTACTTTTGGTCTGTAGATAATGTTTTGGGGGGCTTTGGTTTGCTTTAAATTATATATGTTGTTGCTAACTTTTAAATAGGAACAGCATGTTGTAAGTATAAACAACAAATGCATGTGAGTATTTTACATGGTTTCCAGTTGTCTTATTTGCACCTTGATTTAGTTTTGGCCACTTGATTTTTTTTTGTTTCGGGAGGGGGTTAATATTAGTTAATATAATATTGGTCATGATGTTTTTAATTAACTCTTGCTAAGTATCAATAAAATCTATGACTGGGATAAGCCCCTAGAGGCCATTGATCTCCTATAAAAGAAATGAATGGGATTTATCTAATGCGACTGTCTAATAGATATTTCAGTTTCAGACTCCTCCCTAGAAATACAGGTATAAAAATTGGGCAGTATCTGTACAGCTTAGGTTCTAACACGGCAAAGTAGTCTAGTATAGGTCAATTGTTTGCCCCACCCAGGAACTCCTAAAAACACAGCCTTTGGAATGAACTGTCACTTGTTATCAGTGTGACCCTGGGCAAGTTACTTCACCTCTCATGAGCCTCAAATTCCTTGTCTATTAAATGAGGATTAAACAAGGCAGTGTTTTTGCCTGAGACATGGCAAGAGATCAGTAAACGGGAGCTGTTAATATACTGATTAAATTTACATAAAACATAACGAGTTAGGATAATATGTTAACGTACATTAATATAATAAAGTAATAATGGTACGGAAGGTTTCCTTGGAATGGAATTTAGGAAAGTTATGTTTTCTTAATTTTATAAAAACCAGCCAATACTTTTAGCAGTCAGTTATTATTATTACTGTTTGGTCATATTTTTTCCTAATAAAGTATTATAACAGTTGTAATGGTATGTTATTAAATCAGAGATACAAATACAAAGTCAAAATATTGAGTTAACAATTTAATAAGATCTTGTTAGAAGAAGGGTGACTTTTTTATTTCCAAATCAATATCTGAAAAAATAATCTAGATTTACAAACTGGATGGCAGCAGTTAGTTTTTAAAAAGAATTCTTTGCTAAAATTTTACAATACTTTTGTATAGCTAGCTCCTTACTTTGTATGTGTAAACCGATTTGGTTCAGAAAAATTAAGTCATACACATTACTTTTATAATAACAGTGGCCAAAATAATATGACAGAAGTGACCTTTTAGGCATACCGCTAGTCACTTTCGGCGATTTGTCCTTTCATAATAGTCGATTTAGGTAGGCTTCTGAAGAACTCTTCTTTAGAGCCAAGCAGATGGAGGGGTGAAATGGAGCTTGCAGGCAGCTGTGGTGTGGGAATCCATTTCAGTCTGAAAACATGAATGATTAGAAGTAAATCAATGTCTTAATTTGTTTGCTTTTACTTTTCTGTGCACATAGAATAGGACTGGGAATTGAATTTTTTTATTTTTACCTTTTTAAAAGAAAAGTTTTCTGTTTATTTTGCTTAAATAAATGTGGTTTATATTCTTACACTCATGCAGTTGGTAATGATATAATAAAGGATAAATCTATTTAGATGGAAACCTTTCTAAAGTATTTCTGTCTAGATTCCTGAACATATTTTAACTTTTTCTTGATGGCTTGGGAAAAACTCTAATGAATATTATTTATTCCTGAATTTTTAAACAGTGCATCCTTAGGGCCCGCTAATATGTTTACAGCTGTTTGCTCCCAGATGGCCCTGGTTTCTTAGCTTTTTGAGCTGTTACAGTCACTTCTTACTGATTTTCAGCCTTTTCCCCCCGATGCCACTTTTTGCTCGGTGTGCCTACCTATAGAATAGCTTTTCACTCACCTTCAAATTTGCTGTTTCAGATCTGTCCTAGACTTGAAATTAGATAACCACATTGGTAGGAATTGCTCACAGAATGATAACAAGTAAGCCCTGGTTGAGGGTCCCTGCTCCCTTCTGTAAGTGCATGGACTCCAAGAACATCAACTGACTCTTCAGCTGCACTGTAATCCTAAATTCCTATAGTTTATTCAGGATAGATAAGATTATTAAATAGCTAGCTGAATTCTAGGTAGATTAAATACTGTTATATTCTTTTGAAGGATCTGTGGGTGTTGATACATAAGAATATTTTAAAGAAAATTATTACTATTTTTTGTTAAGTACTTAACTTTTTATAAGAAATTTATTGGACCTTTTCAGATTATTTGATAGGCTTTCAGAATGGTGTGGGGCTGGAATATTAAAGATTCCTTATATATAGCCATTAATATTCTAATACTGCAATTGGCAACATTTTGATTCTGAGGAGAGTGTGGGAGTTCAAGGTCGGAGAGATTGACTTGTGCTGTTCATTATAACCAATTATTCTGTGACAAATGAGTTTGAGATCAGGTTGAAAATTCTGTAAGAAAAATCAATAGTTCTAATCAGGGCCTTTCAGGTCATTTACCGCCCTGCCTTTTGTTAGTTTGTCAGAAAAGAGCAAGATAAAACCTGTGAGACAGTGGGTGCCTCAGTTTTGTTGCCATTTCCATTTGAAACATATTTTGATATCTTAAATGAATAGTTTAATTGGTTTCAAACTTGTAAATGAGTAGAAATTTACATTATTTTGTTTTTTAATATTCTGATAAGATTTTCTGAATTAGCTTTAGCTGTGTAATTTTTTTCCCTCCCCAGAGGAAAGAGTTAAAGTCTTTAAGCAAATTTTGAATGGCTTCTCTCAGATACTGAATTGAGTGTCTTTGTGAAGTACACTTTCTTAGTTTCTTGAAATAGAGCAGAATGGTCACCTTGCCTTGTGCTCCAAAGTAAGCAGCGTATGTTGTCTGTTTTAGTTTCCTGATGAAGATGAGGAAACAAGGTTATATCGTTTAAAGATAGAAGAACAGAAACGCCTAAGAGAAGAAATCCTGAAACAAAAGGAGTTACGACGGCAACAGCAGGCTGGTGCTCGAAAGAAGGAGTTACTTGAAAGACTGGCGCAGCAGCAGCAGCAGCTGTATACCCCCCAGCTCCCAGCAGAGCAAGAAGAACGGACGTCTTCACCTTCACCCACCAATGGTAACCCATTGCTACCCTTTCCAGGTGCACAGGTCAGACAAAATGTGAAAAACAGACTTCTTGTTAAAAACCAAGATGTCACTGTTTCAAGCGTTCAGCCCAAAACATCAAGTTTTGTACCATCTGGTGCTAATATGCAGTATCAAGGACAGCAACTGAAACCACTGAAACATTTGAGACAGGCCAGAACAGTACCTCAAAGTCAAACTCAGCCGTCTCTCAAAGTACTACAGGTAAAACCTGCTGACATGGAGGAAATGCCATCTTCACCGCAGACTGCCAGAGTGGCCTCCGTCCCAGGCCGGCCCCAGGAAGTGAGACCTGGAGTGAAAAGGACGGTCATGCAGCGGGCAAACAGTGGTAGTGGAGACGGGCCGCACGTCAGCTCCAAAGTCAGGGTGATTAAGTTGTCAGGCGGGGTAAGTTTACATGCCTTATGAGTGCCTCTTCCTGTGCTCGTTTCACTTAGAATACCTTAATTCCTAGAGTATGTTATGGAAGAAAGAGAAATAAAACTTGCCTTTGTTACAGTATGTAACAATCATCTACCTCCTTGAAGTTGGTAGAAGAAATGTCATTTAAACACTCTTTCCAGCTGGGACACACATTTTTTCAGTTCTGTCTTTTGAGTCTTAATGAAAGACCAGTATGACAGTCTCTAAATTAGCCTTTCCTCAGTTTTAGCTTCATTTTGTAGATAATGTGCGATACAATTATCAAGTTTGTTTTAAAAATAAAATTTCCTTCACCACAAAAGAAAGAATTTGTTGTATGTAGCTTTAGATTTAGTGAGCCACCTGTGTGTGTCTTGGGTGGTGGTGGTGGTTGCTTGCGTGCCTAGTTTTAAGCAGCCTTGTTCCAGAGACTGTCACGTGTCTTCTGGTTTCCAAGCCAGCCACTTCCCCCGGGGAAGAAAAAGGTTAACAGAATTCTAAATTGAAATCATATATGACCTTACCACAGGCTTTCAAAAAATGAAACATGCCGTTTATTTCTTTCTTTACATGTGAATGGTTCTGGTTTTAGATTGTTTTCTATAAGGCACAGGAGTTAAGTTTTCCGCTGTAGTTTGGATAAGTTCAGTACTCCAAAATAAAAATGTTACTGCAGATAGATTCCTGTTATGGAAGATTCTCTGGTAAAGAAGTGATCTGTAAAATACTTGCTTCCTTGCCATTCAGGCTTATTTAGTTACAGGCAGTCTCTGGGTTATGAACGTCCAGAGTTACGGATAACTCGTACTTAAAAATGGACTGCCATAAAGCCTATTATATTAAAAATTTGAGCTAAATACATACAATGGTTCGTAATAACAAGCGCACACACTACTTTGTGACAGCCGGGAAAACATTGCGCGGCTTAGAAGTGTTTCTTAAGTGTTTTATATGCATTGAAAGGTAAAATATATACTACATAGTAAGACACTTGCCTGGCGCTAAATAAGAACCGTATGTACCTGTTCCGACTTACCTGCAAATTCGACTTAAAAATAGACTTCAGAATGGATCTCGTTCGTAGCCCAGGGACTGCCTGTATAGTAAATAACTCTCATTTATTGTTAAATTACAGTGAATTCTACAGCATGTGCTATGGTTTATGTAATTGTTGTATTCTATAACGGTGCTACCTATTGTGTGCGGTTTGTATTGTGGAAGAGAGGAGAATAGCAGTAAGACAGAAGCTTTTACAGTAAACCAGCCAGTAATAATTACTTAAAAAATAATACAATTAAAAATCCCCCCCTCCCCCCAAGAAAAAAAATTCATCCAACGAAAGCATCAGGAGCTCAGAGGCGCTCCAGTATGGCACCACAGCCTTTGCTGGACTGGACTACGGATAGCTAATTTGATTAGTTAATTTGTTGAGTATTTGTGCTTTTCTTTCTGTGTTTATAGACAAAAATGTGATTTTTTGTGTGTTTCAAGAAAATTTTGGTAGACTAATATAAACGGCAAGTTTCATATATAGAATATTCGACAAAACCCATAATTTTGTTTCTCCAAATCTGTTTTATCTCTCATCTGTTTGTTATGATTCAGAATGTCAGTAAGCAGATGAACTATGCTACATCAGATTATTTTAATATTATGTGAATTTGTTATCTTTAGGTGAGAACCGAAACTTTCGTTGGTTTCTACGGTGTATATGGCCTTTTTGCTTTTAAACGTACTTTATTAATCACTGTCTGACTTTTTAAATGTGAGTTATAAATGTAAGAGGAGGAGATGTGGTCACTGTTGGGAATAGATATTTTACTAGAGCAGCTATGACCCAGTGCTTTTTATTATTGAGATTGGTGAGTCAGGAAGTGCAAGATAGGATTTCTACCATCAAAGAGTAGCTTTTAACTAAGAAATGCCGTTCCTTTAAAATAATTTATCTATCTGAATTTTTGATGTCTTTTTCTCCAGTGGAAAAAATATATTTTGTATCAGCCTGTATTCCAAAATCATGTTATATAATTTTAAAACAGAGGGTGAAAAATGAATTTTGCATGAAAATAGATTATCTGCCAAACCAGTCCTTTTGAATAGCTTTTGAGCCCACTTTTTAAATTAAGTATTAGGTGAGCTAACCGACATGTTCTGTATTTTAGGATTTATTCCAACAATTCTACCAATAACATGTTGGAAACTTTTGATTATCAAATAATAAGTATCTCTTCTATCTCTCTGAACTAAAACAAATGGTATTTCCCTATGGCCTTGGTTTTTCTTGTGGGTTGTAACTGTTTTTAAGAGGATGCATTTAATTGTGACTGGTTACAAAACTGCTTATTTCAGGCAATGCAAAAAGAAAACAGTTACGTTGAGTGCTAGGTGCTCTCACATTTATTTTGACTTTTATTTCTGTCCCTGGCTGCTGCGGAGGTATCTCCATCTGGTTTATTCTCTACCTCAGTTGACTGTAGCATTAATGCTCAGGGATATGGCATGCCTGTGAAACTGGTAAACTGTGAGCCTAGAGCCCAACCAGGCACCCCTGTCAGGGTCCGACGGGCTTAACCTAGAGCTCAACCAGGCATGCCCATAGGGTCTGACAGGGGCTTAGCCTAGAGCTCAACCAGGCACCCCAGTAAGGATCTGACAGGGGCTTAGCGTTTTGGGAGGATTAGCTCATACATAGTACCTATACAGAATATTATTTATACATTTCAATTTCATAATTACTTGTTTAATAAAAGCATTTCATTGTGGTTCATGTTCCCCTTGTGTTTTGCTATGAGCCCTTGGTTTCTTGACATCCTGTTAGTATAAAATTAGTCTTTCTTTATGTTGTGTTTGTGGGGTTTCCTAGAGACTTACTCTAGAGAGAGTCCGTTTTATTTCCTTTGCTTTCTTTTCTAACCTAAACTTGCATCTAATATATTTAAATAAATTATTCTTTGCATTCAGTAGTCTTCTCATTATATTGTTCAACCTCTAGATAGGATGTGGGACTATCTCAGGATATAGTACCATTCAAGAAAGTATACTCTGGTGAATGATCACAGGTAAAAATGGTATTGATGAGATTGTTCGGTTATATTTATGAAAGTAGAATTTTCTTGGCATTCTTATTTCTGACATCCAAGTTGGAAATATCTTACAACTTAATTAGGTTTCTTTAGGTGTAGGATACCTATGAGAGAGTCCCTTGGTGGTGCATACAGTTAACATGCTCAGCTGTTAACTGAGAGGCACCTCCGAAGAAAGACCTGGAGATCTTCTGAAAAATCAGCCATTGAAACCACTGAAAACTGGCACACATGGGGTTGCTGTGAGTCAGAGTCTCAGATACCTGTGAGGCAATTTTAAATCATAACAGAGTTCTCTTTTTTTATTGTCTGTATTTAGTTAATTATGGAGCCCTGGTGGTACAGTGGTTAAGAACTTGGCTACTAACCAAAAGATCAGCAGTTCAGGTCCACCAGCTGCTCCTTGGAAACCCTGTGGGCAGTTCTACTCTGTCCTGTAGGGTCACTGTGAGTCGCAATCGACTCGACAGCAACGGGTTTTTTTGGTTTTAGTTAATTACCAAAAACAACTTATGTTTGGATTTTATTAAATGGTTTTTTTGGGGAGGAAGGAGTGGAGAGGAGAGAGATCCTCAGTCTTAAGACAACTGAGTTTTCTGTCTTCTCTTCCATTAATTATTTTATCTTTAAGGTGATTTTAATTCACCATACTCAATTCTAAGAGGATTTCTAGTTCTTATATATCGTTCCTCTTTGTTACATAGCTAATGCATTATGGACATAAGAAGCATTTTCAAAAAGACTTTATAAAAATGATTTCTTGGTATCATTTCTTACATGGTCATATGGCTAGGGTTATTATCTGGGTTTAAGGTTTGGAAAGTGATTCTTCACTTTTTTCAAAGGCTTATTGTTGGCACCATATTTTTTGTTAACCATTCCAAAATTTCTTTTTGTGGAATATAGAGAACTAATCTCTCCTTTTCTAATTACATTTGTACACAACAGTGTGATATAGTGAAAGCAACATGGCTTTGGATTCAGAAAGACAGACCCATGTTTGAATGATAATCTACTACTTTTCATCTTTGGGGTCCAGAACAAAGTATTTCATTTGTTTGAACCTGAATTTCCAATCTATAAATAGGGTTAGTAAGATTGTTGTGAGGAGTAAATAAATGAAAGCTGCTAGCACCTAGAAGGCACTTTATAAATGTCCATTTCCTTTTTAGGATGCTCCTAAGGCCCCTTCTAGAAATTCTGTGATTTTATGATGAATAATAGTGATAGCTACCATTTATCAAGTGTTTAGCATGTACTAATTGTTTTATAGACTTCCTTATGTAATCTTTACAACATCTGTTATGAGGTGATATTCTTGTTCCTGTATTACATGTGAGTAAGTTGAGTCTCAGGGATTGCATTAGGAACCCAAGTTACTCAGCTAGTAAGTAGTGGAGGTAGGTTTCTAATCAAGATTTAATTCTGAATCCTATTCTCGTTACCATTGTTTATCTAGTTTGTTATTTTTACTGTTCCATTTTTCTATAGTGTTACTTATTTCGTGATTAGGGATTAGGTTCTACTGTTTCTTATAAATGTACACTATTCAGTGTTGATTCAGAAAATTTTTAGTAAGTGCTTCTAGAATAAAGATGACAGGCAGATCTTATTTTGCTTGCCAACCTCAATTGATCAGTAGTAACTGACTGGAGCAGTGTGTTGAGAAGGATTGAGAGGTAAGAAAAAGCTTCACGATTGGTCAAGAGTATCAACTCTGGAACCTGTGTGGAGTGACTGGTAACATTAGAGTAACCAGATGGCCACTAGCCAAGGGAGATGAGTCATTGTTTAAACTGGTTAAGTATAGCTGTAACTTGCTGTGCGCTGTAAATGGATCCTTGAATATTTCTGTGTAAATCAATTTGAGTCAAGTTTTATATTTAAAGCATTTTGGGGGGG